AGCGTGGATTTTGCTCCTGCCCATGACGTCTGTAGTTTACCATCCCCTTTAGCAACTGCCTGTATCTCTGGAAAGGTTTTTGGTGGTGGTGGGTTTTGTTGATCTCTTTATCATCACTTCTGCTCTGCAGCTCGTCGTTTCTGGGCCACACTGATTTCTGCCCCCCACTCCCCATGGGTCTGTATCGCTTTGGAAGGGACAGCCGGAGGAGAGGGGGTCCGGATCCCCAGTCACACGCCTTCCCTGGGGCAGATTGCTGGGCTTTGGGGTAGCTGCTTTTCCTTGAGAATTTTCATTCGCCTCTTTTCTCTCTCCTTTTTTCCTCCCTGTTACTTTCTTACGTGATTTCTTCAACTCAGTGAAAGTACTCGGATACGTGTGTGTGTGTGCACACACACGTGGAGCTGCGTGTAGATGTGTGTGGGTATGGGGGGACATCGGAGCTTGGGACCTTGCGGCTGCCCACCGTGGTCCTTCAGTACGCTGAGCATTTACTCCTATGGAGAGTAATGTTTTCACTGGAGGGACCACAGGCAGAATTACCCTCAGCGTGGCAGTACGTTGAGATGGTTTGATCTCATACACTCTCGTAGCCAGGATAATTAGCAAATGCCACCAATAAGAGGGGTGGGGCTGGAGTATTGTCCTCAAGTGTGTCCACAGCTTCTGCTTCTACCCAGTACCTTTGAAAATTTTGCTCTGGGCCTTCCCTTGATGAGATTGGAGGATCCCAGGGGAGCGTATGATCACATTGAAATTCAAGCACTTGGGAAGATGTATTCGATGTAGTAGCAGGGTCAGGTCCTCAGCAAGAGCTGAAGGTCACTGCCCAGCAAGTGGAGCAGTGCCCTGTAATGTGTCTCTTGTATTTACTGAAATATCAGGCAGGGAAAGAGTGGTAGGATCACAGGCTGGGGTGGCTACTTTCATATTCACGTTGTATGTTAAAAGCTGCTTGTGAAATGTGTGTCTCATTGATTTAAAAACAGGTTTACATTACTGGAAAAAGGGGTGATCATGCTAATTCAATCACTGAAGACTCAGGAGGACAGAAGTCTTTTTATATTACTTTAACTAGCCATGTGGAACAATAATAATGTCATTCCTTGTCAGAGCTGATGGCTGATGACATTGTGTAATCCCCAGCAGGTAGCATGGGCTGCTTCCTCCTGGTGAATCCCAGACTACGGTGGTGTTTGAACAGGGCCACGGAGAGGTGTAACTGCGGCGGCAAATTGCATTTAGCGCACCGGAGCTGTGCAATTCTTCCCAGTGCTCAGAGCCTCCCTGGTTTGGGATGACAGACGCCCTCCATGCCCATCTCCAGCACCCTCAGCAGCTTACCCACTGCAGGCTTGGGGATTTCCAGGCTCTTCTTTCTGGGATTTAGTCTGCTTCATCAGAAAAATTTGTTTGGGTTTTGTGTTGTTTTGTTTTTTTTTTTTTTCCCCCTGGCAAACTGTGGATGGGGTGCTGCAGAGTCTGCTGCAGGAAGAGGGGTGCTCCCCAAATCCAGTGAGCTGGAGCACAGGATGGACAGGCAGGGCTGTGGCAGGTCCAGGGCAGTGGCTTTGGCTGAAGGGGTGCTCAGTGAGCCTGCTGAAAGACCTTGGGGTGCTCCCAGGGGTAGGGCAGGGTGACAAAGCCTGCACAGTGCCGTGAAGAGCAGGGAGGAGTGTCCTGGAGCTCCATGGTCTGAGGATTGTCCGTGCCCCTTGCTGGGCCGAGGGCGGGCTGAGCCCAGCTGCCTGCAGTGCCCAGGCCCTGCCTGAACCCTTGCTGAAGTGCCTTCATGGTGGCTGGGCAACCGCTGCAAAGAGATGTTTGCAAGATCAGTCCCTGGCTGATGACCTTAATTATGAAGTTAGCAGCTCTGCTGCTGGGAGACCAGAGGTGGCTTTATACTGGGGAGAATGGTTTTCAGTGACCTTCCTGACTGAAGCTATGCTGTCTTCTGCACTGGAGACTTGGTTGCCACCTTCACCAGATTGTATCTTCAGGACGCAAAGGAAGGACAACAACAAGATGTCTAGCGTTTTGGCGGCTTGTCTACCATACAGGTCACCACTTCTGCCCAGCTCTTTTGCAGACAGGACCTTCGGGGTAGCACCAGGACATGGACCATCTCGTGCCAGTTCATAGCACCCGCATCCTCTGTCCCCACAGCAGCTCCTGCTGAGCGGCCGGCAGAAGAAGGCTCAGCCCCCGGTGCTCAGCTGGCGGTTACCTCTGAGGATCCCCGAGAGCAGCAATCCACGCAGGAGCTTCCGCAGCGCCTGGTTGCGCTGTGAAATGAGATCCTTGCACTTCATCCCTTGTCTCAGTGTCCGGGACTTCCCCAAGCACCTCTGTGCCCAGGCTTCGGAGAAATGTCGCTCTCTGAGTGTCCATATAGGTCACTGATGCTGCTGTGAGTCCTTCTCTGTCTGTCCGAGGCGTGAGATTTGTTCTTGCTGCCCGAGCCAGCTCTCCGCTCCTCTGCCCTCCCAGGACAGACTGCGGCAGAGGACGGAGAGCAAGAACCGAGCTGCAAGAATCACTGGGATGCTCCTCCAAGCTCTCTGCGAGCCCCTGGCATCGCCTGCGAGCCCCTGGCATCCTCCTCACCCTCCTGCCATCTCCTCCTCTCCCTCTGCCGTCTCCCCCTCCTCCTGCCATCCCCATCTCCCTGACAGCAGCGGAGGAGCCGGGTGCCAGCACCCGCCGCATCACGAGCTCTATTGACAGTTATCCAGAATCTGAAGGAATTCAAGACAAATTGTTAAGAGGATGGAGTTAATAAAATTTGAAAAATTGAGGCCTGTCGCTCTACTAAACTTTTTTCGATACCGCTGACAGAAACATATTTCCCCAATGAGTGACCTTATGCAGCTGCTCCAGCGACGCGACGCTGCGCGGATGCTGGGAGTGAACCAGTGTGCTATTTATCAAATATTATAAGCCGGGGCCTCCTAATATGAGCAGGGAGGTGCGGGAGGAGGCGACGGACTCGCACAGCCCGAGGTGTTGCCCAGGTGTCGATCTCCAGCTACAGACAGCTAGTGGGAGGTGACAAATTGCCTTCTATTAAGTCTCCAAAGGTTGGCGTCCCCTCCGCCACCGCTTCAGCCAGCTGCCGGGGTGGGAGAGGGCAGGGGAGGAGGTGGGGATGGGGAAGGGGGTCAGGTCGGGGCGCTGACGAACCGGTCGCCACTTTTTACCTTCTATTAGCAAGCAAAGTGACACCGTTATTTATTGCGGCGTAATATTTTATTGCTGCTGGTACTCGAGGTTGGAATCGACCAGTTGTAGGAGTCGGGTTCTATCAATTATTGCAGCAATTAGTCAAGTCGTCAAAGCCATTAACAGGGGGATTAGGCCAATATTGGATAGCCATTATTGATAGAACCAGGGCGAGGGAAAAGCCAAACAAACCCTCAACCTTCATCTGAAATGAGAGCAGGCCTAGCCTCGAGGATGTCATCATTCGGAGAAGCCAGAAAACTTGCCCCCCTCCTCGCTGCACAAACCTGGGGTGGGGTTTGGAACTGGGGGGGGCGGGGGTGGCACCACCACTGTCTCTTTAAAAGATATTGAGTGGCCGGCCTCGGCAGTATATAATCTCACCTGTCTCAATCATATTCTTTATTTGCAATGACAAGGCTTGCAATAGAAATTACTCTGTGTCGAATGTTTATGGAGCACATTTTTCATTCTGTAAGCAAATATAGATCCCTGATGCCAATGCTTAGAAATGGCTAATCTCTCTGGCTCATGCTCGCAGAGAGGCCTCTCACTTCTTTCATATATTATGATGGCTGCTCACGTTTATTGAGCACTCCTGGCGCTCTGCGCCCTCTCCGGCGGGGCAGAAGCAGAAGCTGCAGCCTGGTTTGCGTGGGCCGAGGTACCCGCTTCCCTCCTGTCTTTGCAGCGGGATGGAAGACGGTTGCCGAGCCCCTTGCAGAGCTGGGGGGTCAGCCTGCCCTTCCCAGCAGCTTGTCACCGCTGTCCCCTCTGCTGTACTGGTGAATGGGCCAGACCCACTGAACAGAGTAACGGGCTCTCCCCTCACCAGGCTGCTTCTCGAGGCTCTGTAAGCGCCGTAGCTTTGAACTGGGTGGGATGGTCAGCTCCAGCACCAGCCTGGAGGGGGCTGAAGCTGAATTGAAGGTTCATTCTCGTAACCCTTAGTGTCTGGTTGGCGACAGCGAGCTGTCGTGGGGTCACAGAGTGCACCGACATTAGTGCTGAGTCCCTGCACCTTAGAGATACCGACTGAGATGCCGAGAGCCAGAGATTAATCCTTGCCTGCAGCACTGGTTATTCCCCAGTACCCCTCTCCTGCTCTCGGACTGCCCTGTCCAAGATTTCCTCAATATTCATCCCATCACTGCAACTGGGACCAGTTTGACTGTGCATGTTCTGCCATCCAGCGCGTCTGGGATGGGGCAGAGGATGGGGAGCTCTCTCTGTGCAAGCTTGTTTCTGTGAGGGTGCCTCTCTGACTCCCTCTAGTTCAGTTTTTGGGGTTTGTTGCCTTTTTTTTGAAAATTAAATTCTAAAGAGTGTGCTTTTCCTCCAGAAGCTGCTCCTGTGGCTTAGGGTGGCAGCTGTTTAGCAGACTACAGCCAGCTCCAGCTCCGGCTTGGAGTAACAGAGAGGAAGAGCAGCGTGTCCAATTGAAGCCGTAATGGTCCCATGTGGCTCCCCCAGGATGGGGAGCGGGTGCTTTTGTGAAGCTGTATTTTCTTCTGGTGACCGTGTGCTCTCATCCCCCCACAGCAGCTCTTCCCTGCCAAGCCAATTGTTAGCAGTGACAATTCCTTTTCTTCTTCCCTGGACACCCGCGCATGTAACCACTGGTTGTACATTGTCTCTTTCTGATCCAGATACCCTTTGGGGCGAAGGTTAGGAGGGGACACAGACTAGGACGGCAGGAACAAGATGTGCTTCCTGCTCATTCTGCCCCAAGACTGAACTCTGATCCCCTGATCTTATTAATTCCTTCCTGCCATCAGGTGCCAACCCCCTGCAGAAGAACGAAATGGGACACACACCCCTGGACTACGCCCGTGAAGGGGAGGTCATGAGCCTTTTGAAAGCGTCCCAGACGAAGGTGAGTGAGCCTGAGATTCAGGTGACTTTGTGTTTCCTTTGCCACGATGAAACCAGTTTTAAAGAAGACCCTTAGCACACCTCCAGCTCCATGCTTTTTCAGAAAGAGTTCTGTATAAATTAATGACATGATGCATAAAGAAAAAAAAAAAAACACTTCTGAAGTGTTTTAGCTGTGGCTGTGTGCTCTCCTCTTCTATTTTAACATTTCTTTCCCAGCAGTGACCTGCACAGGACCAGTAATATAGTTCTGTAACCCCTTAGCAAACATACTGTAAAATCAGGGAGTTGTTTTTACTGTATTTTCTGAAATTGCTGGGAAAAGAACTGGGTCTGAGAATCCAGAGTCCAGTTGTGGGCCTGGGATCCACGCATTCACGAGCACCAGTCTGAGGCAAAAGACACCCAGTTCTGCTGTCTGGTTGTGAAACACCCATCTCCCCCCTCCAGCCTCACTGTCTCCTTGAGTGGGCTGGAGCACAACCATGTCCCGTTCGTCAGTCCCTGTTATAAGGTATTTTAAAGAGGGAAAAGAGCCATATTGGCTGTAGCAGATCCAATAAAAAGCCCAGGAGTAAGTAGGTTTACCGAGTAGCAGGTTATTAGACAGTGAGGGATCTGCAGCCTGATGTCAAGGATTTAAAATTCCTGGGTATGAGGCCCACAGCAGTGATGAGCGATGCCTCTTGAGCATCATCTCTCCAAGGGTCCCAGGCCAGCCAGGGTGTGAAATACCCCCCCGCCTGCTGAAAGGGGGGTACCAGTGCCACCAGTTCGCAGAAGCAGAACCTGGGGCAGGTTTGCTCCTGGCTGCAGACTTGTCCTCTGACGTTGTGCACCTCAGAGTTTGGTCTGTGGGTTTGGGATTTGAAGTTGCGTGCTGGAAAACCTGAGGTTAAGAACTTGCCCGTAAGTGGAAGATGAAGGTAATTAAATTAAATTAAATTACTGCACTTGGGAGATATTACCATGAATTAAACCTGCCAGGCAGTCAAAACTGCAGTGCTCTCTGTGCTCACTGAGGAGAATCATTGCTCGAGCAGTTCAAAACCATGTTCCCAAATGCCAAACCTCTGTCCTGTGTGGGGAGACGGGGATCTCTCCTCTTGGGCTGTCCAAGCTCCACCACGACAAAGGAACCTTCTTGTGTTGGCCAGAAGTGCTGCTTGGTCACTCGGACAGCTCTCCAGGCAAGTTTTAAGGAAGAAAAGTTGAGAATAAAATACTTGCAATCTTTACGAGGAGGAGGGAGGGGGGAATTATCTGCCGGGTAAATGGTCTCTGGAGTCCAGCACTGGCAAGGAAACCTGCCCCTAAGAGTTTGAAAAGCTGCATTGGTTTTTATGCTTAACTAATAGATGGAGGAGAGGAAGGAAATATATCTATAGAGATGTTCCTGATGAAAATGATTGTACTTGTGTATAAAACATAAGACAGTCAAGCCAGCTCGTGATGAATATTCAGCTGGGGGGGATGTGGTGCTCCCAGGGTTGCATCCACCCCAGTATCTGCATTCCACCGAGAGTCTTTGAGAATTTATTGCTCATTTTAATCACTGCTAGAGAATGAATTGGCAGAACTATTACTGGATGGGCACATCCCATAGATTTTATTTACATATCCTTGTGACAGAATAACAAGGAGTTTTCATATGTATTTTTAATTTATTTTGATTTCCTTTACTCTTAAAAAAAAAAAAAAAAAAAAAGAATTCTGCGTGTGTTTTCCCTGTGCTAGACCACGCTTGCCTGGTGTTTAGGACTCTTGAGCTAGTTCACATTGCTAAACGGTCTGGTGAAATCTAAATAAGCTGTCATGTATCTGGGGCTAAGAGGAAGGGAGTGTCCCTCGAAACTAGTGTCTTCAGCATGGAACTGGAAGGGAAACAGCCTCAGGACTGATCTCAGCTCTTCCAAGTCTTTCTTTGCCATTCAACTCCTCTTTCTCCTGATATACTGGGCCCAGTCAGATCCATCCAGTGGTGTCTCCTGTCTCCATCAGTGGCTGCAAAAAGATTTTTATGGACGAGTTGCCCTTTCTGCTGGCTCCCTTCTGGCACGCAGCAGTGTGAGGACCCCCTGAACCTGAGCTCCTGGCCCCTGCCTTGGACCGAGTTACCTCTGATGGCCCTTTTAAAGAAAGCAAACATTCAGCTGTGGCTCGAGTGCAGTCTGCTTTTTCCATCCAGAACATCCTCAGGTTGTTGGTTTAACCATAGTTTATGAGAAAAAAAAAAGTCTCTTTTGGTTGTTTGCAAAGCATCTGTTTGTTAAGCCACACACAACCCTATCTGTAGTGTCAGGGACAGAGCAGCCTTGCAGTGAAAGCTGATTTTATGCTTTCTGTAAACCCACAAGAATCACCTCAAGACGGTGTTTGGCCTTCGGACAGAAGAACCACTCTCCAGATTTCCAAAGGCTGTGATAGCTTCATTCGTGTTCTGCAGCCTACCAGAAGTTTACCATCCCACTTGCCTTTAATCTTTTAAATTCCTTTTCCTGTAAGGCAAAAAACACTGTCCCCTCCGCATCTGCAGGTTTTCTGCCGAGGTTTGGTTCTGCTGAGGCTGTGCTTTTGAACCTCTTCCCTTTGAATATTTTCCCGTGAATGTAGTCATGCTTGGGAGGGATGCCATGCTGGAGGACGAATAACGGAAGCTGGTGAACGTGGTTGCCGTGCCCATCTTGGTGACAGCTGTGATTATCTCACGGTGAGGTCTGCCAAAGCACGGAGAGGGCAAATCTCGTTAAAAGCGAACATCTCTCGTGCTTTTGGCATCCCATCAGGAGAACCTCTTAGCCCAGGCGAGCCCAGGAGGTTGGTTGCCTTCGACCTGAGAGCAGAGTACTGCTCCTTGCATGTCTTTCAGAGCACGTCACGCCGCTGTAATCCGCTGAAGTGCCGGTGCAGTGCCGTAGGAGTCTCGTCAGGAGACCTGAACATCAGTCGTTGGAGGGGGAGGACGCAGTCCCCACTGACACCATTTCAAACCAGGAACAAGCCTTGCCTTCCTCAGCTGCCAGTTTCCTCATCACCAATGCTGAGGACTGAAGTCAAGGGCAAACATGGTTGAAATATCTGGCAGAAACGTCTGGGAGGAGCAAGACCCAGGTCAGATGTGCTGCTCCAGCATCACGACAGCAGGGAGGAGGTGGGAGAAGCTGGACGTGTACCTATGCAGGAGGGAACGGAAGAGAAAGGAGTGGAAGCTTGTGTCTCGTGTAAAACCCAAGATTAGTGGGGGTTTTTGTTGCAGGTTGTATCCCAGAGTGATCTAAAATATGTTTTTCTCGGTGGATTTTTCTCTTTCTGGTGGCCTTTGCTCAGTGGGGGTTGTGGTGGCTGCTCGGGGTTGACCTGGCTGCTCCGCCGAGGAGATGGCACAGAGGAGAGCAGGGCTCTCCAGAGCAGATCCTGAGAAGAAAACCATAGTGGGACAGCTTGGAAAATGCACCGTAACTGGTGCAGTCTTTCACCCACAAAAGGGATTTTCTTCCTCCCTAGGGACTTTGACAATGCTGGTTTTTCAAGGAGGGAGGACGAGGGCATTGCACATCTTCCCACCTCTCTGTAAACCCATTCAAACTCTTCAGCATCCTGGCAACACAGTTCTCTGCGCCTTAAGAAAGGCAGAAGAGGAGGGAGGAAGAAAAGATTTGTCGAGACATACAGAAAGACACAGATATATGGCAAGAGCAGTGCTTTGAGCCTCGTGGAGTACTCGGAGATCCCCACAGACGCGCCGGTGTCTGTCCCACAGTGCTGTTCCACTGGGATCCGCAGGGAAGTTATTGCTCCATATGAGGCGTCAGGGCTGATGGCATCTCTGCGTTACACGCGAGACTGATAGCACCAGCCAAAATTGGATTGTTTGCTATTTATTTTTTTTAAACTTCTGTCAGAGTCACTACTGGCCCAGGAAACACTGGCAACCTGGCTGGGGGGTTTTATCCACTCCGGCTCTGGCAGCAGGATCCTTCTGCAGCTGCTTTCTGGTTATGCTGGAGGTGTTTCCCCTTCAGGAAGGCGGGTTAAATGATGGGGCCGGTTACGCGTGTTACGTTACTCACTCCACAAACCCTGTGGGCTCTTCATGTTCTGTCCTTAGCTAAGCCTTGACTTTGGGGGATGGTTGTTTCCAGAGCAGTGGTTTCACTGGTGAGATGGCCAACCTCTGCTCCTGATGGGGAAAGGTGCTCAGCAGAAAGTTTTGCAGCATTTTCTAAAGATGAGCAGGGGTTGGATTTGTCCTTTTTTCTCTAGAAGTTCACTGTTCCCGCTTTGGGATTCTGCCTGTATCCCGACCCTGAGCATCTCAGAGCTCTGCTTGTGTCAGATGTCTCTGTAAACTGCTCTGTGCACTATCTCAGCCTTCAGCCTTGTGCTCCTCTGGGAGGAGGCAGTGCATAAGTCTCTGGCTCTCAAAGGCTCTGCTGCCTTGTGAGCTGGAGGTGGCAAAAGCAAATGTCCTGAGTAAAGAGCTTTTCCCAGTGCCGTCCTGCGTGCTGCTGTGGGTTTGTCTGCAAAGCAGTGGCGTCTGACCTCCCGGGCATACAGCACAGGAGACAGTGATGCTCTTCTCTCCATTCCCACGGATCCCAGACCCATCCCCAGCAGATCCAGAAATTTCCTCCTGCTTGGGCTGGCGCTTCCAGACCGAGCTGCCTCTGCCCCAGCAGCTTCCCAGTGCCAGGGCAGAGCTCTGACTGACTGGGTGTCAGAGAGATCCCCGTGCAGGGCATCACAGTCCTGGGGAGGGGGAAAAAACTTGACGTACCTACTCAGTGTTCATGTTGTTGCTCCAAAAAGCCTCTGATCCCAACGTTTTCTTCCCTCTCACAGTTCCAGGAGGAGCAACGCAGGAGGGAGGTGGAGGAACGCCGGAGGTTTCCTCTGGAGCAACGGCTAAAAGAGCACATCATCGGTCAGGAGAGCGCAATAGCGACGGTGGGAGCAGGTAGGACCCCTCGCACGCCGCCCGCTCTGCCCTCCCACGTCTTCAGCTCCGCAGGGAAAGCGAGCCATGCCCTCAAACCCTGATCTGAGGCTGCCACTGAGGCTGGTGGGGGACTCACGGTGAGGTCCAGCAGATGTTTCTTGGGTGTGAGAGGGAAAACCCCATCACAAGAGGGGCTCTTCCAGGTGTAAGAGCAGAGAGGACCATCGGGTGCTTTCTTCCCAGGCACTGGAGTGAGGGGCCTACAAGCCCTTTCATTCAGGAAACAAATCAGGATATCATTTCTCCCCAGACTAAGCACAGTGGCTCGGAGGTCAGGTCTGGTCAGGGAGATGCTCACCACACACCTCTGAGCACGCAGGCAGTTCTCAGCTAAACACACCGGCTGAACGTGATGGCACTTGAACATCGAGCTATCTTTTTGCAAGAGCATTTGTCTTAAGAATATCACTCATTAATAATTTATGAGTGGTTTTGTACAGCTTTGTGTACAGAAGCCGCTCACACACGGGCTGCTTTGGGGAATTTTTCTGTAGCCCTTACAGATTTGGAGCTTCATTCCACATAAAATACGAGCACATACTTCAGCCACACTTTCCTGGCCGTGTGTGCTACATCAGATCAAAGGCCAATAGCCTGTCACTGGTACCAGAGCACAGGGAGCTTTAGCAAGTTAAATAGAGAGTGGTATTTCTCCCCTCTACTCTCCCAGTGTCCATTGATTTGCAAGCCAGGAGTGCCCTGAACCAGAAATTACATCTTTGTGTGCAGCAGCCCATGAGAGATTTTTCTGTCATGAATTTGTCCAAGTTTCCCTTGGATCTCCTGTAAACGTCTGGCCTTTGCAGCATCCTTTGGCAGGGATGTGATTTTTTCATAGCTAGTGAAAAAATAGACCCTTTTATTCATTTAAATCTGCCTCCTGATAGTTCTGCCCGGTGCCCTCTTGTTCTTGTGTCAAATGAAGCATTTGCTGCTGAGGAAACGGTTGCTCATCTGAAGCAGCTGCAGTTTATGACACAAAGCTCTTCTCACCTCCTAACAGCCTGATTTCAGTTGGAGTTCAGAGCCTGGCCCCTCTCTGGTCAGCGGGAGTTACGATCCTGAGCTCTCAGAGGGCAGTTGGTGGTGGTTAGTCATCAGATAGCCAGGCTTTGGGGAGGGTGAGATGGATGCTAGCTATCAGAAGGGTTATTTGCCTCCTGAGTTCCTGCCATCCCCACCGTTCTGGAGGTGTTGCCAGTCAGTACTGAAAGTAACGTTAAAGCAAACCCTTTTGCAGCAGCATGTTCCTGGGACATTCCCTGCTGTGTCCGTGAGCCCTTGCAGGTACAAGGGGACCCTGTTTTCTCTTGCTCTATCCACTGCCGAGAGAGAGCTGCCACCATTAAGAGGCTGCTCTTTAAAGCACGTTGCCTTGATGAATCTGCTTCTGTTGTTTTCTGTCTGGGCAGCCGCGTCCGTTGTCTGCGCTGTAGATTTGGTCAAACACGTGGTGGTTTCTGTCTGTGAATCCGTTGCAGATAGCGCGAGCCTGGAGTATTCCGTCAGCTAGTGTTCCCTTGTCCGGGTCTGCTGAAAGCCCTTGGCCCTCATTCCCAAACCAGGGTGCTGGTGCCTTTGTCTTCAGGTGTTTTTCCTGCACGCCAAATTCTAAGTTTTCACTGTTAAAAAAAAAAAAAATAATTAATAAACACAGGGAATAAATGAGGAGTCTGGCCTCTTGTGGCTGCGGTGGAACCGTACAAGTGTGCAGCAGGGTTTGGAGGAAAAGGTAATGGTTTTTGTCAGAGCAGAGAATGGAGTTGGGGGAAAAAAAACCAGACCAGATTTTAGGCACATGGGCCCCAAGAGAAACCACGAATTTCAGATGAGCACAGACAGTTGCTTTGAGCATAACTTCATTATGTTAATCAGTTGGGCACTTTGAGACGAAAGGGTGTTGGGCATCTGCGGAGCAGAGGGGGATGCTTTCTGACGGGATCGGTTAGCCTAGCAGATGCTCTGACCTCTGGCTGCAAACCTGGCTTTGCTCATACCACCGCGGCTCTGAAGGCAGCAGCCTGGCAGAGCCTGAGCCTGGGAAATGAGAGCTCCAGCAAGCTGGGCTGAGTTCAATTCTCCAGCTCCCAACCACCCGCTTTCCCTCCCGAGGAGCGCTGCGCCTTGGCCCTCGCCGCTCGCACGCGGCGGAGCGCACGGCCCCGACCGGAGCGCCTGCGGGGAAAATTAAAAAGGGGGGACCCGGTTGGTTGTGCGAGGTGGTTTTCCTTGGTGGCACGAGCTTGGGGCAGCCTCTCGACACTCGGGAGCGGTTTATTTCATGCTGGCCACTGAAAGGCTGTAAGGAAGTGAAGGCTCCAGCAAGCTGGGCTGAGTTCAATTCTCCAGTTCAAAGTCAGAAAGGCTCCGGATCCTGTTAATAATTCCCCAAACCATCCACGCATCCCAGTTTAGTGCCTGAAAACGGGACAGTGAGGTAAGAGGGGGCTGAGGTCAGGGCAGAACTGCGAGCGACGCGCTGTCATAAATACAAAACCCCATAGCTCTCTAGTTAACAAAGACGAGTCCTGTGCGATCTGGAAGCCCTGGAAAGAGCCAGCTCTCCCCCTGCAAACACAACAGACACCCTCTGTGTTTGGAGAGCGGCTGTGCCTGGGGGCAGCAGTACGGGCTAATTGGGAAGCTTTGATTAATGGGTAGTGCCTGTTTCTGACACAGGTGGTGTTTCTGCACATTAAAGTGGCTGCCTTTATGGAGGTTTCTCTTATTGAATTATAGGGAATGTGCTTGATACCCCCGCAGCCTCGGGATATCAGACCAAAAGGTAGCAGGAGAGTCTCCATCCCCTCCTCCCCTTCTTCCCTTCTGCCCCATTTTTGTTGTTTACGTTCAGGAAGGGTGAATTTAGAGACATGACTTTTTCTTTCAAGCACTCCCTCTCTATTCTTGTTATTTATTTTATTCCCAGCTGGTTTTGCTGCCACTTTGTGGACTCCACGTGCCTCCTGTTTCGCACTCGCCGATGCGGTGTGTTGGCTGGGAGACTCGCCGCACGCCACATCTCGAGATTTACCGAGCCTAGCTGATAGGTTTAATTTATAACTGCTGCCTTAATTGAATAATCCGATTTAATCCGTCACTCGGAGCATGATCCAAACAGTCTCCAGAGGGGCTCAGCCGAGAATACAAAGGGAATGTGCGCTCTGGGGTTTGCGGGGCGGTGGGGCTGCACGGGGGCTGCGACTGCCAGGATGCTCTCACGGAGCTCACCAACAGCTCAACATCTCTACGGCAGAGGGAAGAATCCCTTCTCTGCTGTTTCCACGGGATAGATCCGAACCCTGCTGCTTTCTTTTCTGCTACAGGAAGCAGGCCAGAGGCTGGCCGGACCGCGAGAAGGTGGATGGTGATTAATCGATCGTAACGGGGCATCTCCGAGGGTGCTGGATTCCTCCCCGTGCTCTGCCTGGGGACGGCGATGGCAGGGGGCAGCTTGGCCGACTGACACTCTCCCCTCTGTGGGTGTAGGTGTTTGTTGCATTTTAACAAAATCCAAATTAAGTATTCCATCTCGAAACATGTCGGAAAGAAGCGGGCAGGTCATTCCTGCGATCCCGTGAACTAATGGCAGCCGGGATGCTACAACCGGGTCATGCAAACGAGCAGCTGAGAGGCTTATGGTCGTGTTTCCAGGGCGCTTTCGTAAATGACGGTACTCTGAATCTGGTTAGGTCTCATTTGGCTTTTCACTTGAAGATGCACAGGCACCAGGGTGAAGCAGCGTGTGCTTCTTAGGGAGCAACAGAAAGCATCTCCTGTCTGAGGTTATAAACCAAAGGAGGGCATTTTTGGAAAGATTTTTTGGTTTGATTTGTGATCTCATATCCTAAATATCATGCCAGAGAAAGAATACCTCTTCTCTACAAATAGCTATCATTTGCCAGGCAGTGGTCACTTAGGGGTGGGATGTCCAAAACCACCACTTCTCAGTGCTGATTCTCTAAACCTTTTGGATTCAAGCAGCCTGTTATGACTCTTCCTGAAGCTGAATAAGGAAGGAGGAAGGAAAAGTGTTGTTTGTTTTATAGCGTAGAGACTTTCTGAATAAAGGGTGGTGCAGAAAATCCACTTTTTAATTACAAAATTACAAATTGTGAACACGCTGAGTGGCTGAGATGTTGAAATCAGTTGACGTTTCAAAGGAAAATGAGTGAGCAGTAATATTGTCCTGGCCTGGACTGAAGGATATCGGGTTTATTTTGGACAAGATAGGATCCTTTGTGAGTCCTGTGTTTCAGCGTGTGGAACACATGTTATAACAGAGGCAGGTTGCCTGCAAGTCGGGTCAGACTGCGCAAGGAAGCACCTTTGGCTGAGTTTGAGGTTCATCTTCTTCCCCATCCCAGAGCCACCGACAGTGCGGCTGGACGAGCGGTTCTTGGGGGATGTGGTAGACCCTGGACCGTAGATGCAGAGCCTGGATGGAAGAGAGAGATCCCATGGTGGGTACGGACCTGGAGGCATCACCCTCTGGTACCCTGAGCCCAGGCGGTCTGAGAAGCACCGCTGAATGAATTGATTTGATAAATGGACATTTATTACACTCTCAAATTGGCTGAAACCAATTTCGGTCACATCAACCCCTGATAACTGCTAGGGTATTGATTTGTGTAAAGTAATACAGTGAATTTATCAGTTCAATAGCAAGCTGAAGGGCCTCTCAGAGACACAGCGCTACAGTTACGCTGTTACAGATGTACAAAATAAAGTGAGAGCACTGCAGCGACACTGGAAATGGCTCCAAAGAAGAAGGCCCAGGCGTCATCATCAGCCTCTCTGCTTGGACATTGGGTCTGAATGCCTTAATGAAATTTCAGCAAAGCAGTGTGATCTACCTCCTTTTATTTCTTTCTTTCTGCCATCCCCGAAGTTACAGGAGGAAGGGGACAGCTTGCCAAGAGGCATGGCATGGATTTCTTGTCTGGCTATCAATGAAG